AATACAAAGAACATATGTTATATTACATATTGTTATCAAATTTATTGCTCAGATTACCAAATATATGCATGCAAGATTGATCAATCTTAGTTTTTTCTTGTCCATTTTATTTTAAATTTTCAAGAGTATAAAAATAATAAGCAAGACATTAGAGACAATACACATTTAAAATAACAAGATAAAAGGTATTCAACAGTGGTTATTATATTGCACATTGCTGTCCTCAATGAAATCCCTCGTATTACAGATATTAGCATATAGTTGTTCAAAGTAAAAATTTTCAACATTAACTACCTTTGAAAAAACAAAGTCAAGTCATCAGTACAATCATCTCTGCTATCCTGTGTATATATACGTACATGGTTTTCACCCCTTTCTATTTTTCCTCTTTTCCCTCATCTCAATTATTTATTCCTTATGTTCAGTCTCTTTCTGTTTGACTGTATCTATTGTACCTTTCAGATTTTACTCTTTCAGGTTCTTACACTAGGGAGACAATACTATGTTTACATATGTGGGTCTGATTTATTTCACTTTATAATTATACCCTCTAGTTGCATCCACTAACCTGTAAAAGCCTCAAGTTTATCTTTCCTTATGGCTGAGTAATACTCCATTGTATAAAAATACTACATGTTTTTTACCCACTGCTCCACAGAGGAGTGCTTGGATTGTTTGCAAGATTTAGCTATGAGAAATGGTGCTGCTATAAACAGGAGTGTACATATATCACTGTGGTACGATGTTTTTATTTCTTCTACGAAAATACCCAGAAGGGAAATAGCTAGGTTGAATGGGACTTACAATCCTAGTTTTTTGAGTAATCTCCTCATTAATGCAGTGGTTGTACCAGTCTATTCTCCCATAAACAGTGGAGAAGGGTTCCTTTTCTCCCACAGCCCCTGAAGCATTTATTAGTTGATTTCTTTATGATAGCCATTCTTTCTGGGGTGAGATGGAATCTGAGTGTTGTTTCAATTTGTATTTCTCAAATGACCAGTGCTGAGGAGCATCCTTTCATGTATTTAATTTGCCATTTGTATTTCTTCCTCTGAAAAATGTGTATTCATCTCAGGCCCACTTTTGGATTGAGTCTTTGAAGTTTGGGGCCCGAGTTTTTTTTAGTTCTTTATATATTCTTGATAGAAATCCTTTGCTATTTTCTGACATAAAGGTATTTAAGAATTACCAGCTACAGCAGTGATCTCAAACTTATGGGACATGTATGGTTTCTTTGCCTTTAAGACAAAATAAAAAGAGTATGTTAAAAGTATGAGGTTTTTTTTTTCTATACTACAATTTTAAGCATTCAGGTTTAACTGCACTTTGTGATAAATGAATGGGTTTTGGGTTGCAGTTTGGGCACTCATTTCTAAAAGGTTTGCCATCACTGTGCTATAGTATATACTTCATCTGTAGCATGTAAATCCCATTAGTTTAAAGAGCTTGTCTAGGCTATTCACTTCCAGCCTACAACGTTAAAACCATCTTGCATCGACAGAGTTAATTCTGTAGAACAGAACTGAAATAAATAGAAATAAGAAAAAAGAAAAAAACTACTATGCCTGGTAACAAGTCATTCCAAAGCCTCAAGTTTTACCTGGAATGAACAGATAAAAATTAAATAAAAGCTAGTTATGCAAAATGAATGTTCAGAAGTTTTAAGGACTTCTTAGAAAACAAGAGATCAAATGTCCAAATTTGTTTCACATGTATGTAAATCAAGTAATGATGTACAATATCAAATCAATGAAGAGAAAGCACGCCGTCTGCACAATGCTTAACAATGTAAACAGCTTTTCAAACACAGCTTTCTAAGGCAACCAATTCAACTAAATACCAAAGCATGATTTCAGAGCCAAAGAAAGAAAAAGCCTATATATTCTTAGAGTTAGAATGAATAAAATGATCTAATAAATATAACTCACTTTTTAGTGATGATTGGGGGGGGGGTGCAGAACCGGGGATTGAACTCAGGCCCTTGCGCTTGCCAGGCAAGTGCTTACTCTACTGAGCCATCTCTCTGGCCTATTTTTTAGTGATGAAAGTCATGTTAAGGGAATAGAGGGCAGAAAACATATAGAGTGCATGCCTAGCATGCAAACTGCCCAGGTTTCCACCCCTAATACAGAGATGGGAAAAAGTGACACTAAGAATTAGGTAACAAACAACATGCCTAACAAGGCTAGAAATTTTCTTCAAGCACTTACTGCTGATTAGGCTCAGTTTCAGTCTGCTGGGTAGAATTGAAGCTCTGCATAGCCTGTACTTCCTCCTCTTCCTCATCCTCACTAGAGGCTTCTTCTGCAGCATGATTAGACCTTGGAGGAGGAGCAGTGGCAGTGCCATCAGCTTTTTGAATCGATGGCTTCTGACAGATATATTTAGGATCCCTTCCAAGATTACAGATTTCTTCAAGTAACTGAAACACACAAAGAAGAAAATCACTTATTAGTATTAGAAAGGACAACTAAAAGTTTTGCATTTTCTATGTGCAATGTATTTGATTAAAAATATGTAATATGTATTATTCCTAGGCTAGTCATTAACTCTATTTTACAAAGTAAGCGAAACTTTTTAACATTTTTCATTTTTTTTTTGTAGTTTTAGGGAAGGGTCTACAGGGTGTTCAGGGTCTCACTACTAGATCAGACTCAGAGTGATCCACCTGTTTACAGCCTCCCAAGAGCTGGGATTACAGGTGTTCACCACCACACCCAGTCTCAATTGCCATCTCAGCATGCCCTGGGGGTGGGGGCGGAGCTGGCACAGCAGGCCCAGGGATGGAACCCCCGGCCCTACATGCAGGCACTTTAATTTGTTCAGCTATTTGGCTGGCCCTTCAAATCAATCTCTTTACCATTCTCTCAATACGACGGTCACATCCTTCTATGTCCTACCTTTATGATGGCAGTTGTTGCATCTGTCTTGAGGGTGGGCTGATGTCTCATAAGCTCATCGACAGCACTCCCCAGGTTGGATGCAGTATCCCCTTGAAACAAACAATGAACCATTACAAAGAAAAAAAATAACAGCTTGTATCTATTTTGTTTAACCCTAACATGGAAAAAGCTAAGTTGGTTATTTTCTAATGCCAGGCTGTAATAAATGAATTCATTACATCTGCTACCATCCACAAAATCACCGGGGAAGAGGATGGCATCAGCCTATTAAACATATTTTAAAGTAACCATGTGTTGTACTCTATCCTGGAAATATCTCCAGATCTGAGGGTGTGTGTGTGTGTGTGTGTGTGTGTGTGTGTGTGTGTGTGTGTAAGAGGGTCTCACCTTCTAGACCAGGCTGGCCTGGAAATTGTGACAATCATCTTCACTCTCACCTCCCAAATTATGGGATTGCAAGAATGGGCCACAATGCCAAGCAAAGATCTGAGCCAACATTATAGAGTAATAAAGCTAATGAGAGAAAGGACTGTAACTATTAATAACCCTCCAACTACTTCAGTAAATAACAATAGTGAATAAAGTGTTATAGTGTTGGCAGAAAGCCCAAAGCACAATTTTTCCTTCTATTTTGAAAATCTGTTACTCAGGATTGCCTCAAACTCTTGGACTTGAAAAGATCTTCCTACCTCAGCCTCCAGAGTAAAAAATTTAAAAAAATGAAACTCTTCTGGAACTCTACTTTCTAGCTCCTCAATGATTTGATTGCAAATACAAAGAAAAGCAAGTCTATTCATCTGTGACTATCTTAAAGAAACATGGATATGTGCTGTGCCAGGTCTACCTCCGGGGCGCACTAAGATGGTGATTAACACTGGGCTTGGTGGCGTGTGCCTGTAATCCCAGTGCTTGGGACAAGGCTGGAAACAGGAGGATTACTATGAGTCTGATCTGTGTAGTGAGACCCTATAGACCCTGTAAACATAAATATTAGAAAACCATATCACCAGGATAAATACCTTGGACCCCATGTCATTTTTGTAAACTACACGATGGACTTAGAAATAAATACACTGTGGCTTCCTAATATCTGTTTCTCACCAGCAAAATGACAGTATTAAACTGTTCAGAAGCATGGGGATAGTTAAGAATATAATCTTTCTATAATAAGAGTGTATGGAGACAAGCTCTATTAAGTTTAGCACTACCTAGATACAAAAACAATGTGCAAGCAATAAAGGACTTCCTTGTTCAATGACCAACTTTCTACTATAAAAAATCCTACCAACTCACCAAGGGGATCAGAACTCCTCCTCCTCCGCATGGCTGGGAGGTAATCTGGAGACAGAAGAACTTTGAAGAGACGTTCAAATGGCTGACATTGTACAAAAGACTGAAGACCCCGGGCATTGAGGCAGAGAGCACTAAATACATTTGGGAGGGAGCCAAGGACTTCACGGGTAGCAGGCACCTAAAGAGAAAAGACAACTGAGCCTAAATGTATCATAAAAGTTCAGGTATAGATGTTAGAAACATCTAGCCAGGGCTCCATCACAGAGAGAAATAGGGAGTTTCATAACCACTTCCCAATTAGATTCAACACTATATAGTGAAGGGATTTGTGGTTAGGATTTTCAAGCAGTAACACTGCCTTCAAGTATGTGTGTCTCAGAGGGATATATACACAGTGTACTCTTTACAGAACAGCAAACAGGACTCACATCTTTGATAAGCAGTGCATGTAGCATGACATCCGTTAACCCATTGTCCTGGAGTGAGGAGAGCAATGATGGTTCTTGAAATACAAACACAGTCACCACTTCAGTAGCTAGAACGATGAGAAAAAATGTGGAACTGAGAGATTCCTAATAGGAATTAAAAGTGACACACCAAAAGCCTTACTCAATGTGTAACAATTTAAACTCGTGTGTTTAGTAAGAAAATTCCTAATACCACTCATCAGAGATTCATCACTATTAAGAATTTAGTGATTTACCCTTCAAGATTTCTATAGGTATTATTTTTAAATCAGTAAGGTTATATAATTTGTTTTCAATGGTAATGTAGACATTTTTCTCAGTCAATGCAACACATTTTGGAATGGCTGCATAGTACTATACTACATACAAGTACTACTATGTACATAAATTTGTCCTGTACCATGAAACTGGTAAATCTAAATACACATTCTTGGGCCAAGAATATAGATCAGCAGCACAGCACCTGCCCAGGAAGTGCAAGTTCCTCAATTTCATAAATAAATGAATACACTTTTTTCTGACTACTGAAGCTGGAAAAAATATCAAAGATGTAGGCTTGATGAGTTAAAGCAGATGTAAAATTATGAAGGATGTTGTCATAAAGAGGTTATTCAGTAATTTTAAACTACTAGCAGCACTGTAAAAGTCATTAAAATATATATTCATCTGACTGGCTTGAAATGTACAACACAGACCACTAACACCAAAGATCCAGACAGAGCAGGTACATACATGTAATATCCACACATTATATAAAACCAAACTTTTTAATGCTGATTCCTAAGACCAAAAAGAAACAAGAGGATTTCCCCTTGAGTTGATCTCACTATCCCAAGGGCACATAAAATGTGGACCAACGGTGGCCTTTGGGATTCTTGGGTTGGCTTTGTCTAAATCTGTTTTTGGGTTCTTCTTTAGTATGTGAAACACTTTTCTATTTACTTACATTTGTACAAATGTATGAAATTCTACAAGTTAAGCGCTTAACTGAGATTAGTATTGCACTAATAGAGAGGACTAAGAAATAAAATTTATTATTAAAACTTTCAATACTGTCACACCACCACTCAATGTGAACACTATATTCTGATTTTTTTTTGACATATGATCTTACTACATAGTCCAGCTGACTTTGAACTTATGCTCACATTAGTATCAAACTAGTGGCATTTTTCTTCCCTCAGCCTCCCTGAGTACTGGGATTGCAGGTAGCTACCACCCTGCTTGGCTTATATTCTTTTAAAATATATTATATTCTTTTAAAATATTTTACATATTATTTAAAATAAGGAAAAATGTTAAGTATAGCAAGTCTATTCCATATACAATAGTGTTTCTAGAGGAGAACATGTTAAAAAAAAATTCAGATTTTCAAAAAGCCCTAACCAAGTTTGATTATGTGGGAAAAACAAAAAGTATGACTAAATATATCCTAATAAAAATTTGTGCCAAAGGTAAAGAGAAAATATCATAGATAATTTTCCAGAGGAAAAAAAAGCAAATTCTCTACAAGAAGAACAAGTACTGCCTTGACAACATGCATCATTTACAATATATATAAATCGAATACAATGGAGAAATATCCACCAATTCTGACAAAAAAGTGTTAACATCTTAAGAATTATCCAATGGGGGGCGGGGAGATGGCTCAGTAGAATAAGTGCTTCCCTGGCAAGCGCAAGGGCGTGAGTTCAATCCCCGGTTCCGGAAAAAAGAAAAGAATTATCCAAGAGAAATCCGGGCTCCTATGCATAGTGGCTCACACCTATACCCCCAGCATTAGGGAGGCTAAGACAGGAGAATAACTATGAGTCAGGCAACCTGGGCCACATAATCAAATGCAAGGGCAGTCTGCAGTACATTGCAAAACTCTGTCTCACTAAAGCAAATAAAAAGACAGAAATCAGGGCTGTCACTCTCCCTAACTTTTGTATATCATAAAACAAGTCTTTAACAAAATCCATCCTAATACAATGGTATTAAAGGCTTGATAAACACAACTTCCTCTTCCCAGGAAATACGAATTTTGGTGATGTCTGGTTCTACACCTAAAAATGGTTTTTCTAAAGAAAAAAGGTGGATCTTAAGTAGTTTCATAGTACCAGCATTTTAAAGTACAATATCTGATGTTCTGGATCAATCTTATTACAGAGACACTGAATGGCCAGCCACTAAAGGATGGCAATTTTCCTGACTGTCACAATAAAACCCACCTCCAATATGACAAAGTATAGATACCACAGGCTTGAAAATGCCACTATGGAATATTCTGGCTCTTCTTTGTTTGCCTTTCCTCATTTGGTTCAAGGCCTAAGCCTGAGATTCCTGTATTCCTGCTCAGTATCAAATTTCTTAGGCTCTTTTTGGCCCATTCTGTGATAATGTATTTCTAAATTTTCCCTATAAGACACTGCTCTATTACTCTTATAGGCAAAGAGATAAGGATCTTCATTCACTGTTTTAATAACTTATCAAAATTATAAATCTTTGCACCAAGATTTTAAAGCTAGACAAGTATTCCTATCCATCTACATGATGACTTCACCTTCTTTACAAACTTTTTATTTTAAGAGCCTGTTGCAGTTTTTATCTATTTGGGCTTACCCCAAACCCTGCAGCCTCATGTGTTCAAAGAAGGGGATTGTGTAAGGTGACTTGATGATGGGCAAGTTGAGCATATCAGTATACAGGATGGAACAGCAGAGTCCAGTGGATCAGTTTACCAATATTGCTGGCTGTGATACTGGCAGGCAAAGCCTGGTAGGAAGCAGTGGGTATCTGGGAGTGTGGCCTGTAAAAGGTATATTTCTATCCTGTTTGCACGTCACGACAAGCCTCTGCTGTCCTGCCTTGAAGCCAAAAAACTATGGACTAAAACCTCTGACATGCTGCCCTGCCTTGTAAATAGTTAACTATGGACAGAATCATTTACAAACTAGGAGCCAAAATAAGCCTCTCATCCTTTTTTTTGGTGGAATCAGGGATTGAACTCAGGCCCTTGTGCTTGCCAGGCAAGGCAAGTGCTTATTCTACTGAGCTATCTCCCTGGTTCCCGTCTCATCCTTTAACTTGTGAATGTTGGATATTTTATCACAGCAATGAGAAAGTAACTAAGACACTACTCCAGATCACTCTTCTTGAGTCCACAGTGCCAACTGCTGATTTCCCCTTCTTTGGCAGCTCACATTTTTGATGCTACTATTTCATAAACAAAATCCACGTGTACTTTCTTCAAAACCTGCCCAAGATATGTATGCAACAGTAACAAAGAACGTCACCTGAGTCCTAAACCTCCATCAATGTTAACAGATGCCCTATCCTAGGCAACAACTTATACAACTGAGTCTTACCTCCTTAGAGGTCTTCAAAACTTATATTGATTACCTATCAATCTTGCTGGTGAGGCCATTAATAATAAACATGATGGCACTAACATCAGCTAGGATAAAAACAGAGCATGCAGACCTGAACAAAGGAAAAAGGCCAACTGGGGAAGTTAAAGAAGACACAGCAAAGGGGATAAAGATAAGTATCAAAGTAGAGTAAAAGGGTTAGAGTTTGGGGTATGGGGGATAGGAATTACAAATTCTATTTGGTGGGTTTTAGCATAAATTATTGCATGTCACTGTGACCTGTCATTCCTCATTAATTTCTCCTTTATGGACTCAGTGCTATTCAGCCTCCTCCACCAACTGGTGTACATATATAGTGATATTCTGCTGTTGACAATATCTATCCTTATATAAATATGCCAATTAGAAATTCCTATGTCACAACTCCTACTAAGCACGGATACATATTCTATTTGTAACTATCTTCTTTCCTTTGAACTTATCCAAGTTGACCTGGTTACTATGTGCATTCAGAAACAAGAACACTTTACATGCAACTAGAAAGCCTAGGTGTTTCGTTAAGTGTTGCCAGATAACAGAACACTATGCCATCTTTTTATATTGGTCATCATCACCATCTGTGGAAGAATGGGCACATGTTTAGGTATCTTCAGTTCTGTAACACAAACTCAAATCATAGAGGCTACACTAAGACAATGTCATAATCTCTGGCACACCACATAAACCAAGTATCTCAAGCCTCAGCAAAGCCATTTAGTTGCTATGATAACTGATGACAGACTGGTACCCAACTATCTACCAGCATCTCAAGGTAGAGTTTGTACATTAAAGGGACCTCCTACTCAGCAAGGATCAGTAATAGAGAAAAGGCAGTCAAAGCAGTTAAACAAGTAAGACAACAAGTAAAATAGCCCATTATATTAATAAAATATTCAAGGAGATTCTTGAACCTCATTGATTCCTTTTCCTGGCCACTTCCTGCCTGGGGTAAAAGACTGTACCCTATCATTTAAGGAGCTAAAATGACAATTATCAGTCTAATTCTTTTGGAGTTCCAATTTTGCTTTTTTTCAAGTACAAGTTCATTTAGAGGACATCTGTGCTAATTCAAATATTAAATATGAATTAAGTAACATCTCAGGAAAGAAATGCGGACCTACAATGTTGTTTGATTTAATCCTTTAAATCTCACTTGATATCTCTGTCTTCATTCCTTGAATTATTCTAATAGGACTCATGTGAATTCCATCCCCACCCCACAGTACATTTGTCCTTTTTCTGCCTCCTTCTCAAACTCCTCCTATAAAAAAATAAAAACCACCACCACCGTGCATTCACCTTTCAGGACTTTCTCACACGGAATGCCATCTTCCATGTACCTGACTACAGACTTCTCTACCTACACATATAAATCTTTTGGAGAGGTTCCAAGTCCTAATGGAATTGTTCTAATACTAAAGAACTCTATTAACCTGATAAGGAAAAATAAAATCAACATAAAATTTCTGCTAACCTCATACTTACTGGTGAAATTTCTAATATTTTCCTGCTATATTCATAGTGACAAACCAAAGAGGCCCATTCTTCCCACCTATATTCAATATATGTCAGAATTCTTTGCCAATGCAATAAGAAAATATTATGGCTTATATCTAAGATTTCTTTCCAAAGCTTCACACACTGACAGGTGAGGATTTTATAAGACAGGTGTATGACAATCATCAATGGATCAAGCCATTGATGGGTTTATGAATGGGTTTGATGTTGGGTGATGAAGGTTGGCAGAAAGAGGTAAGTTACTATGGGTATGACCTAGAAAAGTTGTGAATTTCACTTCTTTCTTTGAGCTCAGGTTTGCTGCCTATCTGCAATGATATGAACTGTTTCTCTGTTAACATGCTACCCTCTGCCGTAGAGCCGGTTGACTATGAGTTGAAACGTCTACAAACTTAACTTCTGGGTGCCACGTATTTTGTTCCAATAATGAGAAAGTAAGAGACAAAAAGGCTAAAAGAATAAAATTGTCTACTTGTACATGCAAAGAATAGAATATTAAAAAAAATCAAAACAAGTGAACTTTGCAAGGTCAAATAATATAAGGTTCATAACAAAAATCTTAGAACTGCTTCAGCAAGGAGTCAGAGAAGTATTTAAGTTATAGTAGCCAAAGGTATTCTCTGTAGACACTTCAAATATATTCATACAGAATGCCAGCTACTAGTATAAGGAAGTTTTCCTTACAATAAATTTCTTTACATTCTGAGAGAAAACTCTAGAAGCTTATTTAGCACATTGTTCAGAAAAAGGATGGCACTAAATAAATCCCTATTATGGTAGTTCCTCGCTATTTTGCAGTTTAACTTTCATAGACTCGCTGTTTTGCATGTTTTAAAAAAATATTAATTTAAATTATTTATTAGGAATCTTTTGCTATATCATGGGATTTTGTGGTAGTATGCAGTACTGTATATGTATTTATATGAATAGCATTTATGTCTTTAATGTTTTTTGCCTAAAAAAATTGCATCATATAAAATATATAAAAAATGTTAATTCTAACACTGAAAGAATATTAAATCAAAATAAAATACAGTTTACGGTATATATTTCTTTAGCGAATGAATAAATACCATACCATACCATACCATACCATACCATACCATACCATACCATACATGTTACTAAAATTGCATAGGTTATGAGTTTAGAAAATGGTTAAGAACATTAGAAGTGTTTTAAAATTTTTTTTATTTGATACAGGGTCTCGCTACACAGTTCAGACTCGTGATCCTCCTGTCTCAGGCAACTGGGCTGGCATGGCATGCGGTGTCAGGTTCAAACTCGGATTCTTGCGCTTGCTAGGCAGGCGCTTAGACCACCGAACCATCTCCCCAGCCCTAGAAGTGTATTTAGAAGTGTAGAAAAGGTTTTTATAAGAGTGTGGGAAAGGTTTATAAAGCCTTAAAATATAAATAATAAAAAATATATAACATCACTACTTGGCTGCTTTTCACTTATCAGGGAGTGTCTGAATCGTAACCTCTGTGATAATTGAGGGACCACTATAGTTAAAAATCAAGTTCCAATAACATAAATACTTAGAGCAATGCTAATGTCAAAATGCAGACATTTTTGCAAATAACTGAAGTTTCCATAATTTTTATTTTCCATGGTATAAAATAGTATTTTATATACCATTGTGCAATATACTGTACCTTAAAGGAATTGCCTATTGAATGTGGATTGAATTCAAGAATGGAACTACAACCACTGATTTCTCATACACACAATATGGACTTAATATTTATAACTACTGGGCTGGTGAGATGGCTCAGTGGTCTAAAGCACCTACTTAGAACAAGTTCAGCAAAGCACAGGGACCGCAGTTCAATCCCCCAGCACCACAAGCCAGCCCGCCCTGCCCCCTGGTGGGCTGAGCTGGCCACACACACAAACACAAATAAATAAAAAATTAAAAAAAAACATTTAAAACTACCTAAGCACATTTGAAACCTAACATATATAGCCCAAATGTACAATGTAACTTTTTAATACAAATGATTCAAAATACAATAGCTTTTAAAAGTGTGAAATTTCTATTGATACTTCAATAGATACTTGAAATGAAAACCATTTTGTAACCACCAGTAAGTACGACGTATTACCCCACAGTGACCTAATATGGGTTGTAAAATCCCACAAATACATAAAATATAGAGCGCTCAACCAGGTTATTTTAGCTTGCTGTAAGCCAACTATCAATTCTGCTTACCTAAGAGGAAGAGGGATGGGCCATAATATTCTGCATTACTGATGATATGCTTCAGGGAGGTAGGCAGAGAGCCATCCATAACTAAGAGAAAAGTAAACATTAAGAAGAATGTGGTCAGTCTGGGAGTAATACATGGATGGGAGACAATAAAGCAAAGAGTTAAATAAAGGTATACAAAGCCTGTGTTGATTCCCGTCTAATGGCTTCTATTTGTCACCTCCTCTTATTTTACTACTCTTTGATACAATTATATTTTCTAATAGAAGGCCAAAAGGAGAAGACACAGGGAGTAAGGTAAGGGGCAGAGAAGTCACAGGAAAGAATTTGTGGAAAGGTGGATAAAACTGTCCACATGCAAATAATTACTAAAATATTAACTCTGAGAGGTCTAGGAAAAGTGATAGCAAGCAACTAAAAGCTAACCAAAATGGCTTCACATTTCCTAAGCTGGTCTTGTGAAGTAAGAATAGATATGAGAATAGCATATGAAAGGACAAACTATGAGCAGATAAATATCTTTAAAAAAAAGAACCTAGAATCAAATACCATGTCGTATGCCATCTGAGAAAGCAGGATCTTGAATGGCCTTCTTGAGGAAATTCAACATGGATTTGAGAAGTGCTGCTCGTTGTGGAATACACTGAACTCCTGGCAAGGTACAAAGTCAAGAGAATTATCCTGAGTTTATCATTAAACTACAATGAGCAGGCACATAAAAGTATTATTTGAGACCTATTACCAATTATAGCAAAACTAGCAGACTTTTAAAATGAGATCTACTGGAAAACTAAATCACCAAGGATGGCATAAGACTAGTACTAAATAAAATTAAAAAATAAAAATATTCAAACTTTCTGAACCACCTATTTTGGATCATTTGCCTTCAAAATGGATGATGTTGATAATTAGTATTCATATATCAACTGTTAGAAAACTATAAAAAGGGAGAAAACTATAAAATGTTAAGACACTCTAATATAAAACAATGGAACATCATAAAGGTGAAGTGACATGTATAGTCTCAGGAAGTTAAACTGCACAAATGTATCACTCAAGCTCTTCCTACAGCTGTTCTTCACCACTCTAATAAGTCAGTCACTGAAACATTACTTATCCATGTATCCACACACCAGGACGAGGTCCAGGTCCAGGTCCAGGTCCAGGTCCAGGTCCAGGTCCAGGTCCAGGTCCAGGGCCAGAGATGCTATTGCTGCTGTTGGAACTTGATGCCCTTAATTCAACATCCAGCCGGTGCTCCAAAGATATGGATGAGCCTGGACTGCTTTCCATAGTCACATCTGCAACTGAAGCACAAAGTATGAGAAAGAAAAGAAATTTGAAAAAAGGGTACCATAAAAAAACATCTGAGCAAATTTTTTCCACTAAGGTTTTATGAATGGTAAAATAAGCTGGGCATGGGGTACATGCCTAAATTCTAGCACTTGGGAAGCTGAGGCAGGAGGATCACTATGAACTGGAGGCCAGCCTGGGTTATCATGTGAGTTCAGCCAGCCTGTACTACATAGTAAGACTATTTTAAAAAAATTTTTTTTGAGAATACTGAATGTCAAAATAAAAATGCAAATTTATCACAAATAGGTGTATTTAATATTACTTGTTTTCTGAAATACATGGATTGAAAAAAATCCTGTGAAGTTTTATAGTATTTCTCACTTAGCATGAGTGGTGATATTAAGCATGCAATTTCATATAATAATGGTCAGTAGCGAGAAGTAAATACAACTCTGCTTTTGGTAAACCATTTGCTCTCCTTTTTAAAAAACTGCATTTGGTACAGTGTCTCACTATGCAGCTCAGACTCATAATGATCCTCCTGTTTTCAGCTTCCCTAGTGCTGGGATCACAAGAGTGTGTCACCACACCCAGTCTTGGTGGCCATGCCTAGGGTAGGGCTGGTGTCTCATGTGGTCCTGGGGCTCCAACCCCAGTACCTGCACTTGCCTAAGCCGGTGCTTAGTCTGCTGAGCTATTTCACCAACTTATAAGTAGAACTTTTTAAGGCATAACAATAAAAAGTCATGAAAACATAACCACCAAGTATATAGTTCCAGGAAAGGTTGTCTAAAATACTTTCAAAGAACAATGCAAGTCAAACAGTACATTTGTGATCAAATTATCATGCTCTGCAGAATGATTTATGTATATGAACATAAGATTTGAGCTGGATTTGTTTTTCTTCTTCCCGGTACCAGGGCTCGAACATGGGACCTTGTGATTGCCAGGCAGGTGCTTATGCCACTGAGCTGTCTCCCTGGCCCAAGAACATAAAATTTGAAAAGAATCACACTTAACGGGTATTAATATTGTTAGATAGTAGGTTACCTTTTTCATGTACACCTGAATCAATAGATAAACATTTCTCACAATGTATAAAGCAAAGTAAAAAATTCCCTTAGTGATAAGCCACATTTGTATTTTGAAACAATTTCTTCAAATGTTCTTTTATACATACAAAGATATATACATGCATGTTCCTTTGTACATCTAGAATGTAAACATCAATTGTATAACCTAATTGAACACTGAAACGAAGATGACATCACAATGACCTGAATTGGTTAAATAAACACGGATTTCTTGGGCTCCACTGCAAACTTACTGAATCAACTACCTTAAATAGCGTCTGAAGCTTTTAGCAAGCATTACTTACTAAATTGTGATAAAAGCTGATCTATAATGAATGGTGAACCTTTAAACAGTCATTTATAACAAACTAGTCAGTAAATGTCACACTTAGCACTCTAGAATCCTACATAATCTAGAATCCAACATGATACCAGATTGCTTACATCAGACAAGAAACTGGGCAAAGGAGTATCTAGAAAAGCAATATGCAACGATAACTATTGAAAGAGAATATCAGAAAAAAATACAATAGCAACCTTAATATTTACTGTCAAAAATAAAAGCATTTTAATACCTTCATTATCAGAATAAGATGGGTAATGACATCATAGGTCACTTAGACAAGAATCCTGTTTTGGAAAGTTTGTCTTTTTGGTAGTCTTATGAAATATGACTCAAGCAAGGATTGGGGACATTTAAAAAAGATGTACAAGGGAGTTGAATAGCAAAAATATCTAGCCCTCTTTCTGATTTTGTAATTTACAAATTATTCATTACGAAGTTTTTCACCTTTCTTCTTCCTTCTCAAAAGAGCCAGATAGTTTTAAAAGTTCTGTTTTTGAGCCTACATCCATGTCTTTACCCAGCACATATGAAACTTAGAATTTATGACATGATGTAGCAGTGAAAAGACTAAAACCAGAGCTTACGTTTTTAGTAGAAATGATAGGAAAATGAACCAAACATGAATTATTAAGTGAAGAAATAGAACAGATGAGCATCAGTGACAACAGAGGCCTATTGTTGGTTTATCATGTTTTACTTCACAGCTGTAGACCTAAGAACTTGGACCTTCCTTTCCTGATTTTCATTGTGACAAACAACTTTCAAACTCACTTATGTACAATAAAACTTGGTTGCAGAGAATACATTTTCAAGTGAGTTGTGTACTTAATAATTAATGAGAAAGAGTTACAAGTTAGGAAATACCAAGAGGAAAATCCTAAGCACAAATATTGAAAAATAACTGTTAATTACCATCCATATCAGTTTCCATTTCTTCTCCTTCTTGAGTAGTACTAGGTCTCTGGATCTTTGGCTTGATCACAAATGGGCATTCTTTCCGGCACAAATCTACTTCATGCTATGATCAAGACAAAAATAGTAAGAAAATCCTCCATGTATTTAAAGGACTAGAATTATAATGGAAGAACACTGCAGATGGATTACAAAATTGGTTTCAGGAAAAAGAAGAGGGTTTTTTTTAAAATTTTTTTTTGGGGGGGGCAGAACCAGGAATTGAACTCAGGCCCTTGTGCTTGCCAGGGAAGCGTTTATTCCACTGAGCCATCTCCCCAACCAAGAAGAAGGATTTTAGGGCAGTTCCTAAGTTCAGCTCTCAGTGAGGAAGAGTATAAAAACGTGTGTAAGTAATTGGACATGGTGGTGTGTATTTTGTAATTCCTGCACTTTGGAAGGCTGAGGCAGGACGATTCCAAGTTTGAGCCCAATCTGGGTAACTTAGTGACTAACTGAGACCCTTTCTTAAGACAAAACAGTAAAGAAAGGTCAAGGATATACCTTGGTGTGAAAAGTCCAGGGTTCAATTCCCAATACTGTCAAAATAAAACAAAATAAAGCGCTCCTTTGATAGTAATACCTCAAGTCTATAAATGAAGATAGAAAGTCCACTATGGGACTGAAAAGCTGCCATGTCCAGGTTGGTGATGAGGTCAACGACTCTGACGGCTCTGGTGACAAATGTTATCTGGTCCTGTTCATCACCAAGAAACTTTATGACCTATCAAAGACAGAAAGCAAGGCAAAAACAATTAACTGAAATACAAAGCTTTAAAAACTATTCCTTTGCAAACATGCAGCTTGGGCCCCAATGAGTAAGCACAATATAGGAGAGTAAAAGTGTTTGATGGTTTTCTGCTTTTTAAGTGGTAAGTCTAGGATTTCAAGGTCTTACTTTTCCCAAGGGGGGTTCATACCTAAAATCATGCTAACACATACCTTGAACTACACACAGTGCCTCCTGTCACATTGTACTGGACAAACCATAATCATAATAGCTACTTTTAGAAGCTGATAATGAATTAATAGGAGGGCCAAAGTAGAAAAATTTTAAAACATAACTGTTTCTAAGTGACTTTTCTTACTTTATCTGTAGTCACTGTGTAACATTTCAAACTTGCAATTATGTACTCTCACTTCCCCATAAATGTATGGTTAAAATAAAAACCCAGTAGAGCACCTTCAGTAAGGCTTCCATCATTCCACAGGAGACCAAGGCTTCACCACCAGCATCATAGCTGGCCAGATGGTATAAAAAAGAAAAGAGAGCAGTGGCAAACTGGTGAGGGTATGGATCCATAGAGGGATCTGCAATAGAGATTGCAATAGGGAGAGAAAGTAAACTCAAAAGTTGATGATAAACTGGAATGATAACAAAGACAACAAGCCCCCCCAACACAAAAAGACACACACACACACAAACCTAACTAAAAACAACAACACAAGGGCAGGATGCTCTTCCTACCTGAGAAAATTGTCATTAATACTTACCAATCATGGCCTGAATACAGTTCCGTACAAGTACAGGCAAAAAACCATGGTAGGAGGCAGTTCCAGTACAGTCAATAATACTGCTCAGTTTGGGAGTCCTCTCCAAATGGACAATTGATGTTAATGTTCTTAAAGAAGCAGCTTTAATCTCCTGTGAGAATAAGGTAAACACAAAATGTATCAAGGTACATAGGTAGCTAAATCAAGGTGCTAATATTTCAAACACAAAATTTAAGTTGTTTTGCTGTTAACTGCCTGGGGAAGCAGAGGTCTGTTAGGAGTGACACTGAAAATACTGTATTGAGACTTCACATTTTAAGTTTCCATTTTGTGGTTTTAACTCCCTAGGAAAAGCAAAAGGACAAACAGGTATCAGCTTGGTATGTGGAGAAAATTACTCATACTTACCATAAGCTGCTTATCTGTTATCTGAAGGACATCTACCAGCTCCTCTATTAAGCCATTATACAAGATACTGTTTGCAGATTCCTGCAGGGCATTGGAATACACTACAAAAGGAGAAACAAACACTTTAGGTAAGAAGGCTGTGGGCAACACACTGCCCCAGAGAAACTTTACCATCCATAGGGTCTAGGAAACGATTCCCTTTCAAGCAGCATAGGATGACAGAACCACTGAATTCAAATACAGTGTAAGCTCTCAATAACAATCCAACTCAGATTCTCCTATTAAAGTACCACTGGTCTTGCTCAAGAATTTTAGAAGACAAAAGCATGAAGAGAGAATGAAACTTCATTTTTTGTGGCATTGCTATTTATATAATTTTCCTACTCCTTAGACATACACTTACACTATAAACAATCTAAAGAGATTTTATGGACTTCTCAGACTGAACTTGTAAGTAGTTCTTTTAATTGTAGTAAAATTTAAGAATGCAAATAGTCCTTTTAGTTCTAAAGATTGAACCCAGGGTCTTTGCATTAAGCTACATTTGCAGCTCCCTTTTTATTATTATTTTTTAAAAATTGATATAGCTTATTTATTTTTTCATAATTTTATTGAGAAACAAATAGCAATGAGACAGTTCCAAATTTAATTGGTAGGACAGTTCCAATAATTAACACATTGCATACTGTCTTCCTAAGTTACTTGTTGTACAAGATGCACACATGATATCCTATTTACAAACACTATTAGAACAAATCCCTCTATTTACTGAATTAAAAGAATGTAGCTATATATCTATCCTAACCATTTTGAATACACAGATATGAAAGGGTCCTTCATCTGCATCCCTTTTTTTGTTTAGTTCCATCATTTAAATTGTATAGGTGTGTGAAATCAGAAAAATAACCCAAAATAGTCCAGTAGTCCATAAAGAGTATTGGGTCTTCTGCTTGATTGGCAAAGTTAGAAATTGTTGAGCTGAGTCCCCACCAGCTCAACATAACAGCATGGCTTTAATTCTTATACTTCATTCTTACACTTTTCTGCTGGATCCTTTTTTATTTTGAGACAGGTTCTGACTAAGCCACTAAGTTGCCCAGGATAAGCAGGAATTTACAATCTTCTTTCGACAGCTTCCTAGGGTGCTAGATTTATAGCCGTGTGCCACCATGCTCAGCTAGAATGTAAATAATCTACTTTTGTGATTTCCATATTGAGTTAATACCAGACATAGTCCCCTGAAGCTAACAAAATGAGATGTGAGCACATGAACTTATACTCTCAGTAAACATTTATATGTAATAACATGTGAGACTAATATGTTAGATCTCAACACTGGGAGGTTGAGGCAGGAGGAGTGCTACAAGTTCAAGGTGAGCTTGGGCTACACAGTAAGTTCAGAGGCAGCCTGAACTATATAGGGAGAGAGCCCATCACAAACAAAACAAAACAAAACAAACAAAACAGAAAATAAAACCCATAACCGAGAAGGAATACAATGGTAAGCAGCACAGTTAAAAAGAAGCAGACAAAGGCAAAAATGGTGGCCCCTATAATGCCAGAACTCTCAGAGTCTGAGGCAGTAGGATCACAAGCTTTAGCCCAGCCCTAGCTCTTAGTAAGACCTTGTCCCAAAATTAAAATTTAAAAAAATGTTGCTGAATATGGAAGCCCTGGGTTCAGTTCCTGGTATCACAGATACATGAGAACAACATAATTAAAATAGTAATGGTAGCAGCTTTCTATTCTATACCTTCTATGTGTTAGCCTGCTATATAGGTTTTCTTTTAACCCTTAGATCACTGTAAGTTTTGTCCAGACATAAGGAAACTAAAACTGAGATGGTAAAGGTGTGGTTAATATGTAATATGTAGAATCAGAGAACTGATACCAAAACTGCTTTCTACTCTCTACCCAGTGAAACTTAAGTGTGCAATATTGACTACTCAGTATTTTTGGACTTTAATAAAATTTAAACTCCTGAAGGATGGGAGAGCAGTAAGACAAAATAACAACAGAAATGGTAGAAGACACTGGTAAATGACTATATGCACATTATTTAAAAAAAAACTGTGACTAATCTGATGACATGTCAAGGGGGAACATAACATTTTTTTGGTACAGTAGTTATGAGATTGAGAATAAATAACTAATGACTAGTGAAAACTGGGAATACAAACAATTTTAGTTTCCACCATGGTAACTACCCTAACCTTCACAGCAACAAAAATGTATGAAATTCAAAGGAAGATAAGTTCTTTCAACATAATTAATATCTGTTAATTATAGTGTTCTTCTCTTACCTAATATAGATATTGCATGCAGTCTGGCCTGAACAGCTTGCAATCGCTTCCTGTGATTAGAAAAGCCATGGGCCAGCCGTATGTGTGTAAATAACAGCATCTGTACAAAGACAAGACCCATATTAGGAAATAACTAGAAAACTGAGTATTCTTTCTGGAGCTAATACTTACCTTTAGTGCTCCATGCTAAAATAGTTTACTATTACTATTTGTAAGAAGCAAACCCAGGGGAGGTAACATTCTTTCTGAGGTTTGCTACCAAAATGGAAGTTACACAGATAGCTCAGCAGACTAAAGCACCTGCTTAGGCAGAGCTCAGCGGCCAGGGTTTGATTCCCAGTGTGCCGTGCCGGCCCAAACGCCAGGGCACGCAGAGATGTCGATTGAAACTGGGCGTGGTGGCATGCATCTGTAATCCTAGTGCTTGGGAAGCTGAAACCAGGTGAATCACTGTGAGTCTGATCTACGTAGTGAAAACCTGTAGACCCTGCACTAAATACATTTAAAAAATGAAAGTTACAAAAGAGGGACTCTTGAAAGTTTAATAGTCAAAGGTAAGCCAAACACTAGTACTATAACCGACAGACAGAAACTGGTTCGTAATCAGTAAGTAGGATGTTAAATCTGATCACTGCTAAAATGAGCAGAAAAGTTTTCTCTTGAATACCCAAATTACTGAAAAAAAGAAAAAAGCTGTAAACAGACAAATGATTAAAGTGTTATTTTTCAGACACATCATACCTGTTTATCCTTAGGAATGTTGTACATTTTGGTAAGAGATTCCATGATTTCAGAAGGGCTTTCTGAAATCTGTATTAGGAAAAAAATACAGTTCAGAACAAAATATCACCAAACATTATGTAACTAGTCAATTGTCAAAAGATTTCTCTTACCTTGTCAAGTTGTTCTATATGAATATAATGTAGTGTATTACTAGGTGTCTGAAATGAAAATGATTAGAGCAGTTAGGAGTCAATGAACACCCTAGATTCCCCTACTATAGGCTATATAAGAGCCATCTGAAAACCAGTATCTCAGCCTGGGTTCACAACTCACTGAACAATCTTAAAAGAAAAAAAAAATCAAGGTAATTTTAAAGTCCCTTAATATACTCATTTTACTTAAAGGATATTCAAGGAAAGCTTTTTGGAAACTTGTATCATTAACTATTGCATGTAGACAGGTACCTTTCATGTTTTTCTTTGTTCTTTTTTAAACCTCTGAATGATTTATCTCCATAGGATCAGTCATCACAATAAAGTGAAGTCAAGAAAATGGCTTCCCTCTGATTATGCACTACAGTTTATAAGCATTAATCTAGTAGATTTAATCTAGCATTAATCCAGAAAGACTATTTTTTAAGCATTTAACAATATACCCTGAGGGCCAGGGAAACAGCTCAATAGTATAAGCACCTGCCTGGCAAGCTCAAAGTCCTGGGTTCTATCCCTGGTATTAAAAAAAAAAAAAACCAACCCTGAACAGTACTTTGCCAAGTGTCATTTCAACAAGTTGATTGTTGTTCACTAAAAAATTTGATGAAATTATATATATAAAAACTAGTAATTTAGGCAGGAACCTATATGCAACATTATTTTAGGACTTCTGCAGACTGGGTTAAGTAACCTGAGTTATTGCTACATAAGATCATTAAACTCTATGTTGGAATTCTAAAATGAGATCGTGAGGGGGAAGGAAGAAACACCAGATACCAGTGTCCCATAAATGGAGTCCTACTTTATGGTAGGCCTCAACATAAGATACAATTCTATCAGAAGAAGACATATAATCAGCAATTATTCTGGAGAAACTGCTAGATATAGCTTTGGAAGTCACCAATGTAACCAAAAACAAGCCTTTACTTAAAACTAAGGAGGGACCGTGGAGAAAGCTCAGTGGTCTAAGTGCCTGCCTAGGCAAGTGCAAGGGCCTGGGTTCAATCCCTGGTACCACATGCCATGCCAGCGACCAAGACTGGGAGTGGTGGTGCACGCCTATAATCCTACCACTAGGCAGGCTGAAACATGAGGATAACTATGAGTCCTAGCTGAGTAGTGAGAACCTGTACCAAATACATAAAATTTAAAGAAAAATTAAAACAAACAAAATTGAGGAGGTTCAATACAAGTCAGTCGCAATTACAATAGATTGTAGACTTTACTGAATAACACTCACCCTTTTCTCGACTTTGACTTCAGCCCCAGGGTCTGCATAGAATTCAAAATGTAGTGTAGTTGCACTGGGTGGGTATTTCTGTGTATAAAGCATATCAAAGAAACAGACACTGAGCATCAAGTAATTTTAGACAAGGCAAACATCATCAACTGTTCTCTTGGTCCTTGGCCACTATGACAAAAGAACTGTTGTACCAGAATGAGGAATGTATTGAGGACTCATAGTGCCTTTAACACCTGTCTTAAAGCAGGGCTCACGTGAAATGAGACTTGTGCAAAACAGAATCAGGATGGAGCCCAAAGCTCAAAGTTTCAAGTTATCAAATAAGCCTTTCTTTCAAAACTAATTTTGACAGTAGCTACTCTGAAGGGCAGGAAGAGCAGTGAGTCTGCCAAGCAATAATGACTAAGAATCCAATAAAGGATGGAGAACTAATACCCAGGTTTATGTACCAGCTGAAGAATGGAAAAGGAAATTTTTATGGAAAACTTAGTGTCTATCATTAGCCTTCTGAAATACCTTGATGTTTGAGTTTATTTTCTCCTATACCATTTTATACAATGTCTCATAATACCTGCTTTTCTGTGCAGGTATGTTATAAGGCAATATAAACTAGACACTGAAAACATACCTTGTTTTAACACTAGAAAAGCAGTAAGACAAACAAAATTAAGACCATGATACTAAAATGTCTCCTTGAAAGAAACTACTAGCATCAGTTGCCTCTGAGAATGAAGACGTTATCAGTGTATATCCCTTTATACTCTTTGAACTCTATGTGTATATATTACTTCCTTTTAGAAGTGCAGATAATTTTCCTTATTTCACAAGCCAAACTAATAATGTGTAACTTAAGTCCTTCCTTTTCAGGTCTGGTGATCAAATCTAGACCTTGCTAGACAAGCCCTATCACAACTGAGCTACATTTCCAGCCTAGGATGCATGATTTCTTAACATAGTCTATGACTCAAAACAGGTAAGAGACATCAGGCAAATCTCATTTAGTCTAAAATTAAGAGTTCTGCCAAGGAGTAAAGTATAATATTGACATGTATAAGGAGGTTCAGAACCTACTGAACTTATGTTTTCAGAATTCCAAATTGAGTACTTTTAAATTAACATTAACGTACCACAAACAAAAACACCAAAAAAAAGTATACTAGCTAAGATAGAAAAGGAACCTGCTCTAATTTATAATTTCTGAGATCAGAAATGAGTGATTTTTATGGGAGAAAAGATGTGGTAAGATAAGTTTACTTAATTCTATCACCCCTTTGTGCTAAACATGACAAACTGGTGACAGAATTGTCAAACAACCAGTTGGGTCCTGTAGCTCCACAGCAATACAGCATATAGGAGAGTATGACCTGAATTCATGACTTGACCATAGGTGAAATATAAGGGGTAAATGTGAAAAAAAAAGCATAATAGTTTTAGCAATAACTCACTACTCAAGACCTGGATATGAACATATATTGTTGTCTCTGAGAATCTGTATCATCGGCACATTGACAGCTCATGTACTGACAAACTGCTTCCTAAGGTCTGCTGCTCGATCTGTTTCCTGAAAAGTTATGTGAAATAACAACTTTATGTACTATATATGCATTACAAAGTAAGACTTAATACTGCTCAGGCAAAGACAGCCATATCCCAAGGAGTTACTTACTATCATATGCAAGTCTCTGCAACATTCTGCAAGTCCAAATCCATTCTCCTTTCCACCCCAGCTCTTGAAAAAGGAAAGGACAGTGTTAAGGTAGTGCTTAAGGTCTTGTGCGCAGGTGTACACAAGTATTTAACAGTATATAGCGACTCAGGATATAATGTTAAGACATCCAGCCCAGTCGTAGTGGCACATGCCTTTAAATCCAAGCATTATGGGAGGATTGCCAAGTTTGATTCTTAGCTGGGGAACTAAGTGAGATCCTGTCTGAAACTTTGAATGAATGATGGAGTAGGGATATAGATGAGTGTGAAGGCAAGATGGTATGTCTAACATTAATTTTCTTCAAAAAGAACAATCTGAATTTCCTACAGATGTTCCCATCTGTATTAATGCTTACTGATAGGTCAGTCATAGCTGACACTATGCCTGCTCACATTTCTCATTAGGGTGAAATTACACAGATTTTAGTTTCTCTTTTTATGATGTGAGCCAAGTTATAAGGCAGAAGGTTCTGTTTCCTACAACTCTTACTTTGCTTATACAGGAATATATTTTTTAAAAAACCTCACAACTCTCTGAAGTAATGTGTAAAAATGGCTCAATTAATAGGCTTGTAATTCTAAACTGCCACCCATATAATCTTGGTATACCAGTCAGGCAACAGCCTTTGAAATATGAACCATTTTGTTTTCTCCAGCGGAACTGGGAATTGAACTCAGACCCTGCACTTATTCTACTGAGCCATCTCTCCAGCCCCTGAAAGATGAACCATTTTAGCATTACTATATTTTTACATTTAAATAAGTGCTGGGTTCCCTAGTTCTTAACTATGTCAATGAATCATTACTTGCACTTTTCCTTTAATTCTGTAAGTTACTCATGCCTGCCATGGTTTAAGTTCAAATGCCAATTAAATCCAAGTCTTCATCCTGTGAATGCATTGTGGACCCATTCACCTTGGATGTGGGCTATGCGGCAAGTCCTGACATGGCACTGTCTCTACCTCTAAACGTTCCCTTGTAAAATGTAGGTATCTTCTCATTACCCCAATGAAGTCTTTAAAATAGACAAACAGTGTAAGTCACTGAAACTACCATTCAAAAGTTTTCCAATATAGAACGCTACTGCTAAAACTGAAAACAAAACACACAAATAGACCATTGAGAAACAAACTTTATTAAGTTAGTAACAGCCTATCACAACTCAAGTATCATATATAAAGGGTAAAATAATTTATTAATTCTCCAAAGGATGGCACACAACTAGTACATCCTCCAAGTACAATAGTCATATTTTGTCATACATAATGGATACCTTAAGGCATGACAGCTTACTTCCATACTGCAAACCCTGGTGAGAAAGGCTGTCTAGAGACAGGTGTGGTCCTCACTGCCAGCTAGTTAACAAGACTACTTGGAGTGATGTTAGAGAAAATGGTGTAACAAGGAATTTAAAATCTATCCCTTCGCAACAGCAGTGAATATACTAGCAAAAACTACCAGAATCAACTTTATAAGGAATCCAAAAACTTTTTGAGTTTTCAGCAACCAAAAAAATGTTTGAGGAAAATAGAATGAATCTCAACTGAAAGTTCTGTGATATTTACCTTACCTAACCCAATTCCATATTGCCCACTGAGGTTGACAGTGGCAAAAGCAATCCACATTCCTGCATGAACAGAATGAACCTTACTCTGAATAATTTAGACTATTTGCTTTAAAAAGACTGGTGGCCTCCTAAAGGACCAGGTCAATGAGACTGCCACTATTTTATTTAATTTGGAATTTTCTTGGGTGTGTGTGTGCAGGTACTTATGGAAAACATTTAAAGGCAAATGTACTTGTTTCCATGCTAAGGCAAGTTCTAGGAGACAGTTCCATCAAATAATAGAGATGCTAGAAACAGTGGGAATGCTAGAACATGTAATGTTTTGAGAAACAGAAGCTTAAAAAAATTCGATGTAAGGGCCAGCCAAATAACTCAGCAGATTAAAGCACCTACAAGCAGGCACAAGGGCCAGGGGTTCAATCCCTAAGCCTGCTGTGCCAGCCAGGCCCAGGGGTGCACTGAGAAGGCAACTGAGACTGAGCATGGTGGTGTGTGCCTGTAATCCCAGCTCTTGGGAGGCCACAAACAGGCAGACCACTACGAGTCTGATTTAATAGTGAGACCCTGTAGATCCTTCCCTAAATAAAATTCCATATAGTCCTGGAAACATAAAAGATCACATACATGCCCAAGGCTAGCATGTTCTTAGAAAAGATTAAAAAGATCATCCCAGGTTCCTAACTCTAACCTTGAGGCTTTTGCAGAGAAGGAAGTGAAGGCTAAGGCAGAAATAAACGTTCCTGGCTCAAAGCATGCTGAACATATTCACCAAGCTCATTTGCAAAGATTGGTAGGCTTTTATTTTTAAAGAAATAATTGACCACTAAGCTACTATAACAGAGTTGAGGTGCCATAATTCACTAAATTCACATACGGTCCTTGATGGTTCAAATGATATTTTTTTACTATATGTTTATTGGAAGAAACATTTAAGATGAAGAGCATCTGACCTTACAATTTTTTGCATGATAGGTTAATGCAGAGATAACTCCCAATAAGTGAAGGAACATTTGTGGTTCACAATTCCAAAAAACAGCAGTAACAAATCATGGACAGAGGTCAGAATTCAGATTTCCAAATGAGCCTCACTTTAACATCCAACTAAAGCATGCCTAGTTTTCAACAACAAAAAAATTTCAAGGCATGCAAAGAACAAAAAAAAAGAGAAAGAAACCAATAAAAACTGTTGAAAAGAGGAAATCCAGAAAAAAAATCATATACAAAAATTAAAAGAAACAGTAAAAACTTATAAAATAGGAAGCAAAAGAAATTTTGGAATTGAAATATTCAATAACAGAATGGAAAAATTCAGAGTTCAATAGCAGATATAAACAGGCATAAGATAACTAATGAATGTAAAAACAGGCCAAGTGAGATTAGTCTAAAGTTGTAAAAAAAAATGATGAGTCTAAGAGATCAGGGAGATGTCATCAAGCATATCAATATATCTATAATGAGAGTTCCAAGAGATCGAGCAGAGAAAATAAAGGGGCATGAAAATTATTTACAGAAATGATAGTGGAGAACAATCTAGTTTCACAAAAACATATGAATCCACAAGTCCAACAAACTCAATAAACACCAAGAAGACAAAACCTAGAGAGCCATACAAAGATAGATGAAAATCAAACTCACAGATTGAAGTGAGAATCCTAAAACCAGGAAGGGGAAAGTAACATACTCAAATAGAAAAGATTCATAATAAAATCAAATGCCATTTGTATTTCTGAGAAGTGTTTATTTAGTTGCCCATTTTTGGGTCTATTAATTAGGAGGTGTTATGGTTTATACTTGAAATGTTTTTCAAAGCCCATGCACACCCAGGTGTGGCTTTTAGGAGTGATTGGATGTTGGGTGATGGCTGTAGCAGTCCACTGACTGGATAAGCATGGTTCTAGGTATGGCTACATGCATTTTCAAAAGACAGAAGACCCATCCTCAGTCTCCAGCTGCACCTTTCTTGGCATCAAAGGAGTTGTCTGCCACTTGGGAGTCCACCTCAATTTCCTTTTCCCTGACTCTCTGAAATGGGGAAGATGCTCTTTTTTCTCCTTTCTTCTTTTTGGGAAATGTGTTGGGATTGGGAGTATGGAGCTTAACCTTCTTGGCTAGAGAAATCCTTGCTTCATTTTGCTCGCATTTGCTGGAACCCTGCTTAGAGGCAGCAACCGCAGCCACTTTCTTCTGTCCCTTCCCTTCTTCCTCTGTGTCCTTGCTAGCCTTCCCATTTTGTGCAGTTGGTGCTGAGGTGCCATTGGTCTTTGGAGCATGGGGCCATGGCGAGGACATAACCTTGGGCTTCCCCCCTCCTCTTCCTCTTCACTAGAATTGCCAGAGGAACAACTGCTGCTACTCCCAGCTTTGGCCTTCTTTGCAGAGGCTGCCTTTGATGGGACAAACTGCCCCTCCTGCCACCTTTGCAGGTTTCTTTTAAGCCTGGGACTTGAAGGTCTTCTCCTCCTTGCTGCTGGAGCTATCAGAGTCAGAGCTGTCACTCCCACCAGCCTGAGCAGCCTATCTGGCAGGTAGACTGCTGCTGCATTGGCAGGCCCCTTCGCCTTTGGGGTGGCCGCAGCCTTCTCTGGCTTCTCCTCACTGGAACTGCTTTCCTCCTCGCTCAAGCTGCTGTCAGCCTTTCTAATCAGAGGCTTCTGGCTGCTGCCTGCAAGCTGCTTGGGAGTGGCAGCTACTGGCTTAGCTGTAGGTCACTTTGGAGTGGCACCTGGCTTACTTAGGGAATTCTTGGAGCTATGGGCTGGCTTGGACGGAGCTTCATCCTCAGAGGTGTCAGAGTCTGAGCTGTCTGAAGAGCTCGCTTCTGCCTCCTTTGCTGGGGCTGATTTGGTGGCTACCTTGGAGATGACTGTTTTAGCTCGGTTTTTTTCTCTCTTCCTGAGTACGCAAATCAGGTTCATTGCTGCTGTCTTCATTGCTTCCCTTGGGATGCTGCTTCTCCACAGCTTTCTTAGAAGACAAGGCTCCCAGTGGCTTCTTCAGTGGGGAAGCAGAGGGTGGGGGCACATAACTGTAGGGACCTGGCTTTTTCTTCACGGGCCTTTTCTATTCCTCTTCTTCCTCACTGGACGATTCTTCATTACTGGAACTCTTCTGGGTGGCAATAACAGGTGCTTTTACAGGGACTCTGGTCACAGCTGTGACACATAACAATTATCTTTTAGCTAGAATGGAATAAAAAGGGAAAGGAAGGCTTGCTGTTGCTACCTTCTGCCTGCCACACCATGCCATTAATTCTCTGCTTATCCTTTGCTATGTTGCCCTTCCTTAGAGCACATTGACTATGGAATGAAACATGAACCAAAAAAATCTCTCCTCCTTTAACTGGTCCTTGGTGTTTTGTCCTGTGAATAGAAAGTAACCAAGGGGCTGGTGAGATGGCTCAGTGGTCTAAAGCACCTACTTGGAACAAGCTTAGCAAAGCACAGGGACCGTGGTTC